AAAAAAAGGCGCTGCATAAGCTCAATTAATTTTCTACTTCACGGTTCGATCTAAACAGCTTTTAATTCGAAGTGCGTTTCCATCAATGGTCAGCGCTGTGTACGTCTCCTAGACCAATCAGTTCTACAGCGACTGACTACCAGCCTGTTCAAATGCATTCCAAGCGTCATTAAGTTCAGTAAATATCGCTCTTGCGAGTTTTTCGTGTTCTTCTCCAACTTGCTTATCTGGATGCACAACTAAGCATGCTTTGTAGTAACTCTTTTTCACCTAAAAAAAGTAGTCAGTAATGGAGATGCTCCCGGTTACCAATGAATTAAAGTACGAACCTGAGCTGCAGTAAGCAAGTCGGCCATTCGAGGCTGCTGCCACTTTTCAGCACCCTCCCAGAGCACATCGTTCAAAGATCCTAGAAGAGCGCGAATATTCCGCTCCTTCCCAGCAACCCAGTCACGAATCTACATATTATGTAAATCATATGTGTTACCTTGAAGCAACAGAAAATCCAGTTATCGCGATAAAAGAGTTTGATATATAAAACAAGAAATGGAAGAACTTGCAAGCAGGAAACAGAAAGAAGGTAAAAGAGCTATTCGTAAATGATTGTACAGAATATGAAGAGGTTGAAGAGAAGAGCTAAATAACCTTAATTGAAACGGGGTCCATTTCCTTGATCTCCTCTGCTCTTTTCATATCGCCCAATGTACGATTCATGTTTTTCGCCGAAGTAGTAAATCCCTCAAAAAGTGCTTTTATCAAGAGACTCTTGGCAAATGCAAAAGATATGCGTTGAAATAAAATCTGATTGCGTGCAAACACACTTCATTCCGTTGAAATTTAGATCGCGATTTATGACAAGTGATCAAAGCTACTTGAGAATTGGTTGAGATCGAAAACGGGAAGTAGCAAATGATAAGAGGGTGTTAAATTATAAGCAACATCTGATGAGAAAACTGCAAAAGGGAGAAAAAGTAAGTGCCAGGAAGAATTACGGGAAATATGTGACAGCCCAATAACTGACCTGACTAGAAAGAAGATCACCAAAAATGTCGTTTGATGTTTTTGTCTTTCCACCAACACTGCTATTACTATTCAAGCTT